ATGCTTTTAAAGGGGTTCAATTCATTCACCTGTTGACGAGATGTCGCTGAGGCCAGAAGCATTTAAATTCTTCTGGAAGAACAGAATTCCAGATCGACCGATCTTATATTGACTCGCAACCTGCCAGGCGCTGATGGACACGTCTTCCAGGATCTTCTCCAAGTCTTCCTCATCCTGTCAAATGAGAATACCCGACTGGGTTAATCTGTTTTCACACGACCGAAAAGCTCCTTGTTCTGAAGTCCTGCTAGAGTTCCCATCTACCTGAGTAGGGAGCGTGTCGTTGGGATTCACGCGAACCGTTTTCAGATCGTATTTCATTTTTCTCCAGAGGAAAGCCTCGACGTCGTAAAAGGGGTCGGAGCAGAATGTGATCCGAGGAAGAGAAAGGTTTTCCTCCTCCACGATTGAATACAGGGTGTCAGTCGGTCCGTCTAGATATTTTTGCACGTACAGCACAACCTGAAGAGATGAAAAACAGCTGGATGCATGGGACTCAGACAGTTCGATTTTGGACTGGTACAGAGCCTGGCACAAACACATTCCATTGAAGATGCTGGAATTTAAAGGAAAGTATGCTAGTAATAGGATAAACGTCAAATGGGGCAATAGCATATCGTATGCGAGCCAGGCAAGTGTTTCCTCGTATTACATCGTCTCAACGCGAATCATTTGGAGGACATTTATGCATGAAGTCTGCATGGACGATGGAAACTTCGATAATTCTATGTAGACAGGGATATTTATTTATTTATTTTTCGTAATGGGGAAGGAAAGAACGAACTAAATGCAGGGTGCTATACATGTTTTCTATCCATGATGGGAATTAGAATAAAAAACGCTTTGCAAGCCGAAGCAGAAATCGCCCTTTCCTCTTACTATGGACCAGATGGGCGAGAAAATACCTCGCTGGCGGACAGCCCGAATGTGATGAATACGAAGGAGAGCCAGAGGTAGATACGAAGCCCGGTTCGTCCCCTTTCCTCCACGGACCCTCTCCACAGCCCAGTCTTTCTCCATCGCCAAATCCTGACGAAAGTCTCTTCGAGGATCTCGTACAGCGAGAGCAGACTGAGTCCCAAGATCATCCGCAGGAATCCTCCGAGTTCCCCCAGCATCTCCAGGATGTCGTAGGATTCCTGCTCCTCCTACACCTCCTCCTCCATATTTGCCAAGTAGACGTTCACGAGGAAGGAGTTGAGATACTTTGCCTTGGGCTGTATCTGGCTCCTCGAAATAGTGGGCCGATACCGGGACATCCGACATCGTTCGAGGCATCTGCATCCCAGAGATTCGTATTCTTCGGGATTCAACAGGATCAAATCCGTGTACTCCTCTGTAAACAACTGAAATTCCTCGAAAGTGCGACAGGTGGAGTTCACTCCCATCCAGGGACCTGTGCAGGTCACGTTCAGTCTCTTTAGCAAGCACTCCTCGGTACACCGCACGAGAAGAAATCCAAATGAAAAATGGAAAAATTTACATAATTTGAATTTTAATTCATTAATGAATCTTCGACGGACCCAGACGAAGCTGTGCTCTGGATCCTGGGAACACCGGTGTTTAGGCGTATCCACGTTTTTCACGATCTTCGGATTCAGTTGAACGTTCAATACTTTTTGGAAAGGTTCAAATTCCACTTCTTCGAAGTTGAAAGGAATCCGATCAATGTTCGATAACTGAAGCCAAACACACAATATACCATAAACTCCTTCATGAGTTCATTCATATTTAGGTGCTAGGTGCAGTGCGAACCTTCTCGTGTGGATCAAGGAAGAAGAGACGGTATCGGTAGTACTTCCGCCAGTAAAGGTCATTGCTGCTTCCGTTGAGAATAAACCGGATTCCTTCTTGAGGTCCCCTGCCGAAAGAGGCGTCGAGGCGCAACGTGTGACAGGCGCATGGCTGTCGGCCGCACAAGGGCAGATCCCATTTCAATTTCTTCGACACGCCTTGCATGGTAGACAACTTCCATCTTCCGATTCCTGTTGTCAAGCAAACGATTTGGGAACATCTCTTCCTATTGGAAAACAGGGCTTTAGAGGAAATTTTGCGTTTTACTTAAAATGGTTACTACTACTATGGATAGTTGTTCGAAGCAAGAAGCTCTGCCATAATTCCACACAAAAGAAGATGTAACCCCTGAAAACATTCATGTGTGGCTGCAGAATGTGCATGGTTAGTCTAGCGACAGTTATTGACATTGTGAAATGGTGGGTTCTGCATTTCAACAGTGGAAACAATGATAACGAAGACTACCAACTCTCAGTCAGGCAATCAAGCCGTAGTAATAAATTAATAAATTAGCAATACAATAAATTAGTGCGCATTACTTTCGGTACGCCCCTCGTGCATTTGTCAATCTGAAACGTTCAAACTGTGATAAGATACACGTGCAGAATCAACAACGCAAACATCACGATATGTATGCAGAATAATCCTTTCATTGACAGGAGAGCATGAACGACGCTAGCGGGAGAAAAGTTTTCAACAGCAACCAATTGCATTGAGAAAATATTATCAGGAATGTACCAGGCGTTACGATGTATCATCCTGTGTCGCCGAGGAGGGATGATTCTCTTTCATGTCGGTTCTCTTGCACTCTGATAGATTCTGCTAGGTAGATGCTGGATGCCTGAAAATTTTCCTCTTAAGAGCGATTACGGATTTTATAAATGGACATTGAATACGACGCGCATAATGAAGTTATGCGGCCGCTCCGGGCATGTCAAGAGGGCCAATGAAGGAAAGGGGCGTTATTGCCAATTATCAGGTTGTAACTCATATGTTGCATGATGCACCCGTCGATAGGTTCGCGACATGCTTCACCGCGAAACCGTGTCTTCTAATGTTTTTTGTCGCCGATGTCTTCTAATGTTTTTTTTTTTCCATTCTAATGATACGTTTTTCTGCGGATTTTTATGAGTTTACATTGCGTCTTTCCAATTTTTATTGAATAAAAAAGATGGAAGTGACGAAATACCACATTCGACATGTGATGCTGAACGAGTTCCAGGAAGTGAAAAACGCTTGTGTATCCGCAAAAAAAAACATTCAGTGTTGGTGGGAAAGATGTTCTGAATGAATGGATGCGTGGGAGATGGTTCCAGAAGTTGAGAAGTGGAAACTTCAGCCTGGAAGATGAACAAGGAACACATGAGTTAGATGATGAGTCGCTGAAGACTGCAGTCGAGGAAAACCCTACTGTAACTGTAAGAAAAATTGGCCTAAAACTCAATGTGAGTCATATGACAATTCATTGTCATTTGAAACGGTTGGGAAAAGTGGTGAAGCTTGGAAAATGGATTTCGCATGATTTTTCACCAGCAAATCTTCAACACCGAATTGACATTTCCACATGACTGCATTCTTGTCAACTCCAAGCATCGTTTTTGGATCGGATCGTCACTGGGGACGAAAAGTGGGCCCTTTACAGCAACTTTAAGCGTCGGCATCGGTGGCTTAGCCCTGTAGATGAGCCTCAGCCGCAACCAAGAGATGGGCTCCATCCAATGAAAATTTTGCTATGTGTTTGTTTGTTCCATCACGATAACGCGCGCCCTCACACCGCTCGAATCACCTCCGCCCAACTGGAGGAGTTTGGCTGGGGAAAAACATATTATTCTCGGGCGGAGCACCTTCAGACTACCATCTTTTCGGAAGTCTGCAAAATCATCTGGATTTTAAAAAAAATCGTAGACTATGGTAGGAAGGAGATTATAGACAGAGAAGGGAATTATATTGGTGATTAATTTTTCATTGTATGTTATTGAATTTTCAAATTGAAAATTAGGGAAAATATATGTTACAACCAGACACTTGGTACATATTTCATTAGATTCCAGCTTTGAAAGTCTAATTTTAAAGAAATGTTGATGATACACCCAATCCCTACTGCCATTGGCATCACACTACGTTCCACCTACATCGACCGAATGGAGGTCCGTCGGTGGACATCGCCAATGACCTGTCCAAGCCTTATGGGCCCATCGTCGGACGCAGCGTTGGGCCAAGTTGTGCACGTAGGATCGAGGATAACTTATCCACGTACCTGACGTTTTTTCATCGATTTTCTGTATCTTTCACACGGTCATGGGTTTGCAAAAGAATAATTGTCTCATCATAAGAAGAACGTCCAGAAATGCATCAAGGATGCCTAAAATGCACGGAGATATTTAGTCAGAGTACGTTTATATGTGCGATCAGTTTTAGAGTTCAGAAAAGAGACGGTTTCAATTTTCCTTCACAACTTCTACATATGCCAATGGACCGTGTAAACGTAATTGCCAATGATGAATCCTTCAGTCAATAAGTCTCAGTCCCTGAGTAACCACCAATAAAACGTCAATGGCTGTAAAATTCGACCAGGATTTTCATACGCAACAGGCTCAACGACCACCTGTCGGAGCAATGGAGATGAGTGAAATGGGATTTGCATACGATGATGAAAGAAAAATGAATTCACACAGACAGGTTTCGGCATCGGCAGTTTTTACGGAATGCAGAGACGTATTTTCTAACAATTTCTGGCGTTTTCAGAACGTTTCCAGCAAAAGTGCGCCTATCGACAATTTCATTCAGCACCCCGTCGCCAAACGAAGCGAGAATCGAGGCCATGAAGAAGGCCAAGAGACTCACAGAGCTTCACATTCCCACTGGTGACTCCACTCCTCCTGAAGCTGCCCGGTCGGTTGGCGCCCTTCGGATAGGTCTTTCATGCCGCTCGATGCACGTTCGCCAGAAGTAAATCCTTTCGCTACCGCGGAACTGTTCGTAATCTTACTTCTGAATGCCGTAATCGACGTTACAGTGTCACGCATCAGAAATCGCGCACCATCGATCAATGTAATCGTCAGTACTTATTGTCCATCCCCTTTCTTATGAGCTGGAAAATAAGTTTTTCCATTCTGCTTCAAGAACCCTCGAAGGGGTTCATCACTTTTTGATGAAATTTTTCTCGTTAGGAACAATAGGAAAAAATAATTATTTCTCCAGCAAATTGGACGGGAATGGTACTTCAGGCCTTAATGATGTCCTTCAACGATTTCTCGTTTAATGAAGGCCGCTCCCTCTCGGGGAAAGCACCGATTAACATCGTAAAGGGGAATTTAATAAAGAAAGAAGGCACTCGAAGGAAGCGAGATTCCGTTTTCCCTCCACTAACCCTCTTCGAGTGTTTTCTAGACGCCCGTCCACCAAGTCGAACAGTGGGGAACCCTCCTCCGTCTGCGTATGACACTCCTTCCATGGGCCCTATGAAGGAACCGGAGGAGAAGCGACTGAAGTCCCTTCGCGTATTTCTCCAGTGTATCGTTTGCGCCACTGCTCTCGTCATCTCCGTCGTTCAGGTCTGATGAATTGCTATCTTTCTGTTTCAGTGAAGAGCTTTATTCATGAGATCAAAAATTTTAAATCCATACAACTGTAAACGAAACTTTTCTAAGTTCATTGCTTTCTCAGTAGTTTTAACGGGCTGACCTCATCAAAACCTAGTGTTTTCAACTGCCTCTTTCCAGGCTATTTGGCAATTACAGTTTCGGGAAAGAAAAGTTCATTCTTGCATTTATCTTGCAAGTGTTGAGCTGTCAACAAATACCTGGGAATACCCACGAGCACTAAGTACAGGGTACAGCAAACGAAGGAACTAGAACTCCCACAGATCGTGATTTGCACTGATCGGGATCCGAACATCCTTTCCGACTTGAAAGTCTTCAATGGGGATGTAGATAGAATGGACATCAACAATAATCGAGCTTTCAACAGATCGGAGTTGAAATGAAATCGAATATCTTTGAGTGCCATTCCAGGACCAGCTCCGAATTCAAAATTATATTTAATCGTCTTCATCACGGATTAAAGGGGTTATGCTGACGTGAACGAGAAAAGCCTCTGATTTGTTCAGGAAGATCGAATTGAAAGAAGAAGATACCAACCTAACAGTCCTTCAGACGATGGATCCGATGGACATCAGCACTCCTGGTAGGTCAGAATTTACTTTTCAGATTTTACTTTCAAGCGTCGTCGGTTTCAGTATAAAGGATGACTCCGTCCCATTCAGGCATCGGGGATTGGACAGCGCTGCAGATGCATCCTATATGCAAGGATGAGCCGTGTGTCTGTCATGCGTTTATGCCCAATCTCACGCTGGGGAAAGGCTTCATTGAGAACATTCAGATCACTCTGTCAGGAAGTGCGAAGGTGCAAGGAAAAGGACAGAGATGGAAGACTCCCCTGAATATTCCCTTTTCTTCCTTGAGAAAAAGGAAGAGGTAAACCTGCTAAATGTCTTAAATCATTCTAATCGTAAGGTTTTTGGAAACTGTTCATCAGGTAACACTGGACAAATCAGTGACTCGAACTTCTTTTGATTAGGTAGCCACTTCACTACAAATTATGGAAAAGTTTCCGCAGTCTGTACGTATCGCAGTGTCGAATCTCCTAAAAAGGCTTACCAAAAAATGACTCTTCCTCATCGAATTGTTTATTGTGCTACACTCGTATATAGACATATAATAACTATTTCTCGCATTAATTAAAATGTTTTGCTTAGTCTAAAAGTGAAAAATTTATTCTGAAAAAATTAAGCAAGTCACAATTCCTTTCAGGATTTCCCTATCAATTCCTCGCAAGTCAATTATAACCAATTAATAACAAGGAAAATTGACCCCAACCTCCTACGACTAGCTGTGCCAACCGTGAGTTACCTTTTCAGCCCTTTAACCTCGTTTTGCATAGAATGCGATGCCGAATGTACGTCCATCGTCGTACGTCGTAATATCGATGTGTGCGAGATTAGAACGTAAATAATGTGCCTGGAAATGACCTTAAACGTGAATTTCACGAAATGACTTGGTATTTGAGAAGAGGAGCAAAATGTTACGAGGTAAATTGCGGATTGGATATTGAACCATAGAATTTCACACCTGTGACTGGTACAATACCTGGAACATTTTATTAAAATGATACAAATTGAATGAAATGACAAATCAAGACTTACAGGACTCCTGGGGGCAAAATACCAACATAGCAACATTTTCCTACTTTGTCTTCAACCTGCATGAAACCAATGATTGACGTCTTGGATTTCTGATGCAGCTGACGGATTTTGAGGGATTCCCGTACAAGTTCGAATTCGAGGAGTTCAACTCCCGCCAAACCTTCGTCAACGTGAAGCTTCAACTGAAGATCGTGAACAGAGTCAGTACTCCACGATTCCCTTGCACACATGATCCGTATTACATGTTCGTAAAGGTACATCCGATACAGCTTCACTAATGAATTAAGAATTCATTGTTTCTTTACGGTGATTTGGAGGAATGATTACTACTAAAAGTCATGGAGTTTATCCCTGGAGAAAAATTTAAAATAAAAAAAAAACAATTATAATTGCTTCACCTTTCCGTCAGTTATCAGAGCCATCATTTTCCGGAATATGACGTAATTGAAAATTTCCCAGTCAATTGACTGCACGAAGAATCAGTATACCAATGACCCAGGTTTATGACATTCGCTCATAATCCACGAGGTGTAGTAAAGTATTTCGGCCAAGAAGGAACTTCTTAGTTTAAATCATACGATTTTTTTCATATGCATTACCATAAATCATGTTATCGTCAGCTGCTACCTTGAAGGAGTCCCAAACTAGCTAATGATAGGGGCATTTATTGCGTCTTTTTCAGTGCATGGAGGGATGTTTCTTGTCCCAGATGAAAGTCAACTGCTCGGGTCCCTGGATGAACACGAGGAATCCGATCTGCTCGAACGCGAAGGACTACGAGGGATTCTATCAAGAATACCGGTCGTTCGTCAGTTCTTTGGCAGAGACCGCCAGTATCCGGTCAATTGACCCAACATGAAGATATTGGGAGGAATCAATGATGAATGCGATCGCAATGTATTTCTGTCAGATTTCGTTTTCGCGTTTAATGTTGCCCATTTGCTTATTTGATAGTTGAATTTTGCATTTCATTTGAAAGAAAGAGCTGATCAAGTGAAGCATAAAAAAGTTCATTATAGGCAATATTTTATGTGAAATGTGAATCATATCTCATTTGAAATTGCTTATTGGAGGTAAGTAGCTTCAACTCTACGCAATCAAAATATCGGACTCGCGAGAAAGCTGCACACAGCTGGCCATTGCTGAACACTCGCTTAGGTAGGGAAATCCCTTCGGTAGAAGATTTGACCGTGCGCCTTATTGATGATCATGGCGAAAGGCAGCCGAATTGGGAGCTGGCTGGCTTCAGAGTGAAGGGCAGGTTCGAAACGGAAAGAGCCAGGTCAATCCACGATATGAGAACTCGTTCTCCCTTCGTACCTCCAAAAACACTTTTTTATTGATTATGTTCATTATGTGACGGGACGATCAAACGCGTTCCGTTGCATACCCCTTGTTTTGCGTTATTTGAGTTTGCGAAGGAGCATGATGACGACACCAGATTTGAGTTTTCATTCATGAGATGGTATTCTAGATGGGGCCACACTGTTGAGAAAATCCACTGGATAATTGTTTTGCTCCTCGGGATCATCACACACGCAAGAGTTAATACCGCTGATGATGTTGGATTCCCCTACTTCTCGAGTTAGAAGTTCCTCGCTCGATTCAAGTACCTCTTCATTCTTGGGGCAAAGGATGGCCTCGTTTTGTATCGAATCAAGATGTAAAGGATTCATGTTTTTGCAATAGACAATGTTTTTGATGCTGTCATTAACCATGCATTTCTGAGGTAGCGCAACTATGTAATCAGAAATCTCTTTCAAAATCGACCTTCTCCGCCAGACAATAGCCTTTCTGAGAACTCCTTCTCCTCCCGTTCCTCTCTCGTGTTCATTGATAGTTTCAAGATCTTAAATAGTGGCTACAGAGAGCTACGTTTCAGGCAAGCAAGAAAGATGGCTCACTCATTTCCGTGGCAAACGACGGAAAGAACTTGTTTGTAGTCGCCACAAAGAACCAAGATTTTTCCACCGAAAGGCACTTTGCCGTTCGTTATGCCGGGAAGCATTCTGTCGAGTGTTCGATGATGGCGTAGGAAGGAGCCATGGGCGCTTCATTCCATATCGAGAGCCGGGAAGACCTCAATTCATTTGCTTCCTGGGCTTGGGGACGGACATTGCAAGTTGAATTTTCAGCAATCTGCTCTGGAAATTTTAAACTGTAATGGGCAGTTCCTCCTCCCTCCTGCAAAGTTGCTGCTATTCCAGTCCATGAAGCAGGCAATTCGATTTTACCTTCTCCAATCACGATACGGATTAGCGTATTTTACTGGAAGGTCTTTCCTATTCTACCAGGTCCGTCAATGTAGAAACACCTGGAGGAATCACCGTTTTTTTGTCTCATGCTCTCATGGATGATGTCGACCGTTCCACGTTGCTGTTCATCAATTTTGGCATGCATTCGTTTTCTCCATGTATCTTTCTGCAGCAACGTCGTAAAATTAATGAGTCACAGGCAGTGTCATTTTTGGCCTCCCGAAGTTGGAAGGATGAGCAATGGAAGCCGTGAGTTTGCAAGGCATAGCACGCAATATTAGACGTGAACTTCATAATTGCTTCAGATTTATGTTGAGAGGGAGGGATAGAGAAGGTAGATCCGGGCCAGCAGGCATCCCTATAATTTCGTAAAATTACCATGTTTCATTGAAATGCCACTCAGGTCCTTAGTGATCAATTCTCACTCCCACCACGACCACACTACCTGAACAACACGGGCTTCTCTCTAGCGGGCATCACGAATGTCACACGGAGCCAGGGCCCGAGTAAATTCAAGTCCGGCGCTTCACTCTATTATGATTTCGGGGAAACAAAGTCCTCTTTCAGCTTCCATCACTGGCATTGTATTACGTTTCATTTGCATAGATGGCAATGATGTGTGCTCGGAGGCCTCCAATCCTAGTAACGGAGAACCCCAGACTCGGAAAAAAAAGACGCAATTCGGCCGGGTTTCGAACTATGGTCCCCGTCAAGGGAGGCTGACGTGTTACCACCGAGCTGCTAACTTTGCCCCGCCTGGTTGCGGCAGTCGATGCCGTAGCTCCTCGAGTTTTAGTCGCAGAGCGACAAAAATGAGATCTGTAACTTTCCGAGGCTTCAAGGTTTCCGTTGATACCGGATTCGCTGGGATGCGATGAGCGAGATAGGAGGAGTTCCTGAAGGAACAGACAGACAAACAAGGGTAATATTATATAGATTACGATTGCATGCTCGCGATATCTCGACCCTCTTTCCTTTTGTCTCTTAAAATTTTCACACGATTTCTGCCTCTACCTTCTGTCAGTCTCATACACAGCTAACACTGCTTTTGAAGTCGATCTGGTGCTAACCACTAGGAATTAGTAAAACAACCAATGAAGACGTGTAGGGAATCCCCTTCACATCAACACCGAACTGAAATCGATATAGCATTTGGTGTTTAATATGATGTTACACCCGCGTGAAATACCGATGGTGTTGCACCAACACCACAGGGTGAGTTCAAATTTGGTGTTGAGGAGTGGAGTCCATGCGGCACGAAACATTAGCACGGCAAAGGCGCCTACTTCTAATAAATATTGGGGGTGGGGGGGGGACAAGTTCTTAATACCCCTGAATTAACTTTGACGGAATTATTCCGGAACCGTTGGAGTGGCTCAGGATTATTATGATACCATAGTGACGAGCCGGGGGGAGTACTCAAAATAGAAAGGAATATCATATTCATCATTTCTTTCGTGATGCATGTTTCTTTTTCAATTTTCCATGTGTTCTACTTTTGTTGAAATTTTGCCGTTTTTTGGGGTGGTGGGGGGGGGGGGTTGCTCCTTGACTAATGTAGTGGGGGGTTGGTACGTGCCCCTTTCCCTGGGTTCGGTGCCTATGTAGCACGGAACACCAACGCGGAATGTGAATTCACCTAATGTCCGATCAACGTTTGCATCAGCAGCCGTCAGGCGAGATATACCAACAAACATGATATCCTAACCACGTAATTAGTTTGCGACGATTAACCAACACAGGGAGTTACCGCATATTTGCTATCTGCACGCGTTCTCAGCATTTTTAGAACGGTACTTGCCATTTTCTCCACAGACGACGCCAGGGAAAGCATTTGTCTTCTTTTGTATTTGTCTTTGCCACTTTCGTCGAATATATTGGATAAATTCGACGAAAGTAGCAACCCAAACCAACAAAACCCAAGGTGATTCTGAACCGGGGACTGAAGACAAGAAAGTTATTGCGCTCCTGTCTCTATGAAACAACTCCGTCCTCTTTCGATGGAAAATCTGTCTTCATCCGCGCGGATGTTCAGTATATTTAGAGTTAACGACCTACTATTACATAACTGCAATCACTCCAGTGTCATTCTAATTCTGATTGGGGTTGCCTCTCTATTATCTCGGTATGAAGTTCATGTTGGGTTTGGACGGGGGGACTTTTAAAACGCGAGTTCAGATAATTGAGATCGAGTCGAGGCACGAGACAGTACAGGGTGTTTCACAGAAATGATTGCCATTTTGAATTGCCATAACAATTTTTTTTTTCTAGTGGAAAACAAGTTAGAAATGAGCACCTCTAGCCCCAGAACAGCCTTGAAGATGCCAATATACATTTTGTACCGCTGCCTTCAGTACTTCCTGTGGAACGTCTCACACTGCCTGTTGACTTGTTTCCTTGAGTTCTGCAATGTCAAAGTTCTGCAGCTTGTCTTGAAGGCTTCATTCTTGCTGGATCATCGCAAGGAAAAGTTGAGTGGACAGAGGTCCACATTTGTCTAGAGTGGCTGAGAGTTTCGCTCGGTGGCTCATTTCTCAGCGAGATGACATCGAATGGCTGGCTAGAGGTGCTCATTTCGAACTTGTTTTCCACTATGACAAAAAATAGTTTCTTTCCAATTTGGTTCTTGTTGCGAGTGAATGCTCAAGATAAGAATAAGTTAAGGCAGTTCAAAATTGCATACGATGCATGAAACAACTTGTACATAAGCTATGAAATTGCGCTTGCGCAAAAATGAAACATCATGTTGAGACCTGTTTCGTTTCAACGTTGAACCTTCGTGGATTCAACATTGCTTCATGGTTGAAGATGGTTGATGGAAATTATTTTTCAATATGGATTCAACTTTATCAAGCAAATGCTGAATCAGCATCGCAACATTGATGTTGAACAATGAATCAATTTTGGTGTACTGCTGATATCACCTTGCCTCAAGGTTAACATAAAAAAGTTCAATGTGGAATCAACTTTCACTAACCAATGTTTTTTCAAATGCAGCTGCAGCAAAAGCAGCTGAAGTTAAACGTTGAATCAATGTTGATTGAACGAGTGTCTACCTAATGGGAGCAAACACGTTATACACGAGCGTACTAAAAACTAGATTTGGTCTAAAATAGCGAAATAATTGTAAATAATACATGTAACGACAAAGAACTTCGTTTACCCGACACGGTGCTCATGCCATCCATCACAATTGATATTTCCTTTCCCATACGGTTTAGCAGGGAAAAGGCGTTCCAAGGCGATAATTCCAATTCGACTGTAGGGAACTTTGTCGCTAATTTTATATTCTGGCGAAAGGACTCTATGGCAGTACTTTTTCAAACTCTTCTAATGGTTCCTTACAGTTGTCTATGAAAAAACCGTATAAACCGTATATGCAGCCCGTATACCTTCTCGTTTTATTGAAGTGTGAGCATTGGCCTAATCGTCCTTAAGTGGATTAGACATAGCCACCTTACATCAAAATGTCATCCTGAATGTCAATGGAACATCTTATACTGTTTCCCTGCCAGAAAAATAAATAGAACCCATTCACATCTGCAAGCGTACCACGCGTCAACTCGTGCCCTTCTCTTCACCAATGACCCAACGGCATAGCTCG